GTACAAATAAACTTGATTGATTGGTTGATTGACATCGAACATTCCCAGAAACGTACCGTTTGACTTTATTCAAGTCATGTAGCAGTTTGAAGGGATGCATATGATGCTTCAACGTTTTCTGGTCAATTGATTGTAAATCTCTGCAGTCAGTAAACGCCCGATACTCAGTGCCACCAAGTCGGGCTGACAACAACACTCTTTTGTGTAGATGACGTTGCTGAGTCAGCTATTTTCAGTATCAGTTAAGCGTTCAGATTTTCCCTCAGGGGAAGAGCACAGTGAAAGGAAAACGGTTTTCTACGACAGACATCTCTGCGCATCTCAGGCTGTGAGAGCGAGAGAAAGAAGTGCTTTTCAGCAGAGAGGCTGATTTTTATTACTTTTCTTTTTACTACAGAGTTACTTTGTTTTCTCCTTTGGAGCTTTCAACTTCTGGGTGTAATAAAACATGCTAGATTTGGAAATATTGGCAGCCTGTGGAAAACCTCACCACCAGCCTTCGTAAAAGCTTGCCATGCTAAAATAAGACCTGAAAAACAATCTCAATTCCCATCTCACGCCTAATCGTTTTCGCTTGTCTTGTGATTTTCACACTGTTTGTAACACGAACAATTAATGATCCTTTCAGAGGTGAAGACGTAAGAATGTTCCAGTATTTAATCGACACCTCAAAGCAAAATCTCCTGCAACTAGTCGCCATCAGAGTTTTGATGTCTTGTCCTACGTGTGGATTGGTATTTTCTCGATGACATTGCATACGCAGAAGCATGGATGCAGTCTTTCCTTTTGTTCCATGCGTGTTTCCTCTGCAGGTGCTGACCATTCTGCATGAAGTGTTTCCTGCTGTGAAGGCAGCAGAGATGGCCGTGAAGTTCAGGCCGCTGTGGTGGGAGGGCTGGCAGACTCTGGGCCGGGCACAGCTCAACCTGGGAGAGGTGGACCTGGTGAGTAACGATGGTCCCTTCAGAGGGTGAACGGTTTGGTTTAAGAAGGCAACAACTGATGCACCTTTTTTAATCGCTTCTGCCAAGTGAATATGTAGAAATGTTGTTAAAAAGATTTGCAGTAGGAGCTATGTTTTAAATTGAGAAACACTAGCTAAAAAACTTTAATTTGTTCAAACTTGATCTTTTTTTTTAATTAACTAGCTTCCGGGCTTCCAAGAAATAATGTTTTGTGATAAGGATCTCGGAAATTGTTAAGGAATACGACTTCATTCAGGCATGCAAGTTGTTTTCTAAGTCGCAGCTTTCGGGGAAATTTCTTTGCCGCATTAAACAGAAGCATTTGCATTTCATAGCTTCAGGCCTTTTCCCTGTTGTAACACACCAGTATGGATCTGAATTACACCCAACCAGTCCATGATCTGGGTTGAAATGTTCATTTGGTCTGCCGTTCACCTCTTATTTTGTTATCTTGAACTGAAAAGCTGCAGGTTTCCTCTGCGGTTTGAAGCACTTCGGAAAAGTCTGTAATTTATTTTCCAAAGGTTTCACAAAGCGTGAAGAAGGAAAATATGCAGTTCAAGACTTTATTCTATCCATTATTCTGTCCATCTGTCCATTAAACCATCCATCTCAGTATTTGCTGATTCCATATTTGTGGATGTTTTGCCAATATCTGAAATTTGTGTTTATATTGAAAAAACAACTTTGAGATCAAAACCGGCGTTGGATGGTACTCTGCAACACATTAAATATCTATGTCCTAGTTTGTGTATTTTTTGTAAGCTTCCATCCTCTGATCTGATGAAGCGCACCCAGGTGCCTGCGGCCGAGACGATCGACTAAATTGCCTCGGAACGCGCCGTGACTTGCGTGTGTGAAACCTGTGGATCACAGCCACTTTATTGCCACCCTCCCGGCAGCCGAGCGGCCTCGGTTTAAGGCAAAAAATATAAAAAAATCCCCTTCAGGTTATTTTCGCTCATGCTTGCCTTGGAGCGGGAGACCTGTCCGACAGCCAGGAAAACAACAATGGGAAGTGTTGAAAGTTACTTAGGCTCAAACAAAACTAAATATAGACACACCTCCTCGCATAATGAAGCCCTTTTGGTAGGACAGAACAAATGTCTATTTTTAGAACAACTTGTTCTGTCGTGTTTTAGAACATTGGGTTTACCAACATGTTCAGGCTGTGCCTGTTTGGCAATTCAGATGATCTTTTTTTTTTTTTTTTTTTTTTTAAACTTTAATTGACTGTTCTGTTATTGCTTTTACTTTCCAGTAAACTCAATTCAGGGTAAATAAACTATGCAAAAAATAAATAAATAAATAAAACAACACGTCAACAAAATGTTGGCATTTATGGTGTCTGTTTTCTCTTGATGGGTATTCAGGGTTAAATTTATTGACCTGTTTTTTTTCTTTTTCTTTTTTTTTTTCTTCAAAAAAAGTAATTTTAATTGCAACCTACTATTAAACCCAATATTTTCCTATACGGTACTCTGGTGTGCTAACCTGCTAGATACGTTGCCCCCTAACAACAGTTACTGTGGCAGTGTGAAAAATAATTTTTGCACATCAGTGTGAGTTACAACATCCAAGTTCATACACCTGAAGAATTTATTCCTGCAAATTCTGCAGCTTTTATTTCTCTGTTCATTTCTGTTTCACATCGATTTGAGTTTCTTTTAACCGCTCAGGAGTTTTACGTTGGTAAAATAAAAAGCTGTGAAGCCGAGTACATCGGTGTGTTCCCCGATGTCGGACTTGATTCTGTCCTTTGCTTTGACGAAGCTTTGTGGAGGGTGGGAGTGACTGTGAGGAGCTGCTTCTACTTGACCACAGCTAACTTATTTAATTAAAGCTTTGTGTTTTAAATGGGGATCTCTAATAAGATGATTAGCAGCCCCAGTGTCATCTTGCATATGTATATTTAGTGATTCATCTCAGGATAATTTGCTAAATAGCATTCTGAGATGACACACGGAAACTCAAAAATCCAATAAGTTTCCAGCCATTGAAAGCATGATGTCTAATTGCCTGAGAAAACGCAAACTCAACTGTTTTCAATCATAATTAGATATTTAAAAATTAAAGAAAGTAAGAAAATATTTAAAAGGCAACTGTATTTGCTACATCCAGACATGAATGCTGTGCATTTTGCCTGTGAAAGAGCAAGACTTTTATCAGATAGCAGGAAACCGTAGTCAACAGAGCTGTTATGTTTTATTATTTTGAGCCTTTAGCCTCTGTCTGTCGTGAGACAAATTGGATTCAAAAATGTTTTCAGTGTTTGAGAAATCAAAGAGTAAAATGTAAGGTCCTAGATTCTCCTTGAGGCTTCTGAAAAATCTGTGACATTTGATGCCGACGCCAGTTTAATATGTGAATGACGGATTGTCTTTACTGTTCTTTTAAGAAAAGGAAAGCCCATCTGAAAACAAAATACTGAACTTATTAATGAACAGTTACATGTAAATATGTCGGATGGCTAATTTCCATCTTCTTTCTTCTGTAAAATGATTGAAAATGCTAACATATCTTTTCTTTTAATCTTCATTTTAAGTCCAAAAATGCATCCCAAAACTTTCCTTCAGACTTCTCGGAGCTCAGTCAGAGCCTCAGCAGCTGATTTAAGGAGCTAAACTCTGCTGAGTTTCACCTTATTTTCCAGCCCCTTAGCTTTTGGAGATGCTCGACAGGCCTCTGATATTTGTCAGAGTTGATTTGTAAGACCATCAGTCAACTTTATTGGCGTGTCGGATGAAATCGATTTGACCATTTCGTGGGGATCAAATGGTCATTTATCAAGGCAGGCGCCTGGTTGTGTGAACGACTAGAGACGCTTGCCATTTTGTTTCAACGCAGTCTTCCAGTCGCGACTCGGCAAAGAGATATTGATCTAGCTTCATGACAAACTACAGCTGTCAAGGGTAAGAAGGTTAGGATCGTAATCCCAGACATGCTGCATGTTTCTCTTGTGTGAACACACATCTCAAAGACTTCCGGCTCATTTCCTGAACGATTGCCCTTCGCGTTTCACATTTTCCACTGCTTCCTCAAAACCTTCCTCCTGTCGGCTCTCTCTCCGCAGGCTGTGAGGTCTTTCCAGATCGCCATCCACCTGTGTCCCTCCGAGCGCAGCCTTTGGCAGGACGACCTGAAATGGGCTTGGACCTTACAGAAGCAGCAGCTGGCCACCAAGGAGAAGATCAGACAGGAGGAGGAGACCAGAAAGCAGATCCTAAATGCCCCCGAGCTGGAGCAGGACTACGACTTTGAGTCCGATGAAGTGCTAGCAGCCTGCGTGGCGGTCGCTGACAGGCAGACGCAGTACGAGGAGCTGCGGAGGACCACGGTGGTGATAGACGCTGAGGGGAACGTACAAAACGTCGTGAGCGGGGAAGAGGGATCGCGGGGTACGGACACGCCAGCAAGCGAGCAGTTTGTTAAAGCGAGAGGACTCTGAACTGCTCTCACATTGAACTGATTATCCCGTGCAAAGCGTAAATTTAATATTAGACACAAAGATCACAGAAGACCTAGTTGTTGCAACTCTTTATATTTAACTATCCCACCTCTTTACCATCAATTATAGTTAAACGTGAACGTTAAGTTTTTATATCTGTTGTGACTCACGGGGCTGGAAACGAACGTGGAAAGATCAGCCTGGGAGTCGCGTTCCAGTCAGTGAAAGTCGGTTCAGTGTTCAGCTAGAGGCCACTGCTCCCATTCATGCAGAATGGATCCAGATGCTCAAGTATTCGGTGCCTTGGTAAAGTTTTCATACCCCTTAAAGCATCTCACAATTTGTCACATTATTACAACAGACCTGTTAATGTATTTGATATGGCGGACCAGAACAGAGCATCAGCAGAAGGAAATTTATCTGTTTTTCAATGTTTCTACGATTAAAAATGTGAAACGCATGGCATGCATTTACATTCAGCTTACCTTGCTGCCAATCTTTTAGGCTGTAGGTCTACCAGATTTGAGCTTATGATCTTGTTTTTTTCAGGGTTGGAGATCCCTGGTAGAGAAACGGATGTTCCTTTGACAGATTACCCCACCTTACTTTTGAATCTCTGCTGCTCCTCCAGAGTTACCAAAGGTCTCATCTGCTTCTCTGTGATTATAGTTCTCCTTTCCCAGCCTGTCAGCTCATATCATGTTAGCTTAAACAGTAAAGCGTTCAAACCTTGAGATTTTTTTATAATAAACCAACTTCAGTTATATTTGTTACGTTCCTTGGTCATCGTGATGTTTTGGGGTCACTAGAGTATTTTCCTAGTACGGCTAGACTGTATCACGTAGAGAAGGCCTAAAGGCAAATGGTTGCACTGAAGTTCACATTCTTATCTGTGCAAGTAATTTGAAACCTTGTACTGTTTTCCTTCCACTTCCATATCACATAAAATTCCAGAAAAATACGTTGAAGTTTCTGGTTTTAATGTGACAAAATGTGTAAATGTTCAGTGGGTATAATTACCTTCGTGAGGCGCTGCAGTTATAAAAGACAACCAGTTTGTTTTATTTTGAAATTGGTTATTATTGTGGTGTGTTTCGTTACTTCGACGTGTTTTATCTACTTTCACACACAGTAAAAGTTTTTTTTGTGTTTTTTTTTTACTAATCTGAACGCAAACAGAAATACTTTTCTGTATGAAACTGTCAGCTTTTTGATGTGTGCTTCTAAATGGAAATGTGTTGTCATTGTGAGCACATGCTAGGCTGTTCCTTTCTGTTCCAAGTGTCAAGTGAACAAATTAAGTTTTAACATTAAACCAATCCTTTAATATTTTAAGAGGTTTTGTAGTTTTTCTTTCACAGCTTTGTACAGTTTCTACAAAATGTAATTTACCCTTTCATTGCTTTTCCCTATCAATCATAATAAAACAAATAGATTTCTACCAAATGACAACAGATACGTAACACAAATATGTGATTGAATACATAGTCACTTCCTTTAAAGTGAATGACCTAATTCAACAGAGGCCCAGCCAACTGGTGCTAGCAGTGGTAAGTCGGGGTGAAACTGAGCAACGAGGGAGCGACGGCTTTGGAGAACATTTATTTTCCAGCAAGACGGCGACCCAACGCATCCAGCTAAAGCTACACAGAAGACAATAAGATGGACATTCTGGAGTGGCCTAAGCCCAGATCTCAAATTGAAAGAAAAGTTGCTGTAGAACTTGAAAAGGTTCTGCAACAATGTTTTTTTTTTTTGTCAAAAAAATAAAAACTTCAACAAATGTTGTTAATCTTGATTGATTCGCAAAAAACAACAAACGGTAAAACATCCAAGTTCTTTCATCAAATCTGGATTTGGAAAACGCAGTGATGTGTAAACATAAATATGATGAATTAAGATTGGAAAACTAATTCTTTTTTTTTATGACAAATAATACAGCACACACCCAAAAAAAAAAAAAAATCTTCAAAGTTTTGCTCCACAGTTTGGGTTCAGGTCATGTCAAAAACTGGGGCTCAGAAAGGGAAAAAAAGTCGACTAACAGCTCAATATTCACTGACACGATCTTGATCATAACTCAGTTTGAAGACATACCTACAGCGTGTGTGTTTGCTGACTTACGTGGTTGTCAGACTAATCCAAAACGCGTCCCACAGGGCCGAGGTCAACTGAAAGAAGACGCCACATGGCCGATAACAGGTTCGTTTTTTTTCTCCGTGTTGTTTTTGCCGAGCACAGATGTTAAGGTCTGAGTCAGCCAGTCGAGCATTTAAAGGCGTAGTGTGATAGATATCCCTGTTGATTAATGGTAATAAACTCCTCTCCTGCTCCTCTTTGCGGTGATTTCACTCTCCCATCTGATAATGAGCATAAATAATTCAAGTCGTTTTCAGTGCTCTTCAGATGGGACTCGTTTTACTTTCTGCTCGTCTTTTGGGGGGCGTTTAGCAGTGGCTCGGCTTTTTCAGACTTTTTTCACGCAAATGAGACGGGAGGCTTTCTGGACGGTTGACACCCAAGGATGTTTCATCAAACCGACAAGTCAGCTGATGGGCAGTTTGGCATTTCACGCAAAACGGATCAGCCTATTGACCGTTTTGAAGCTTTTTGTCTCCCCTTTTCAGAGTGAAAAACATGCTAGATTTCAAATGATACTTTACAGGGTTTGTAGATGTGATGTTTTGCAATATAGAACCTTGCTTTGTTTTTGTGATGTTAGAAAGTGAAGGAAGTCTCAAGTATTCAGACATTTGAGCTATTCGCAGGCGGCCGTGATCCCTGACCCCTGTGAACAGCTGGGGGCCACTGTATGATGCATGTCGATTACAAGTCAACAAAAAGCATTACATTTTGTCAAATGCCATCATCAAAATCATCAAGTGAATAAAGCAGTAAATTCCGGTTATTGTGAATCAAAGGAGGCCTTGTAGCCCTGATTTAAAGGAACTCAGGGTTCTGGCTTTTTTGCAGTTTTCCAGAAGTTTGTTCCAGATTGGTGGAACATAAAAACGGAATGCTTTGTGGTTCTCTGAGCTACAGGGAGGCAGTGTAAATATTTTAGTAATGGGTTGATGTGCTCTATCTTCCTAGTTTCAGTGAGAACGTAAGCAGCAGCACCTGGAGGATTGATTTTTTATTTAGGCAGACCTGTGAAGATACTGTTGCAGGAATCAATACACCTAAAGACAAACGTATTTGTGAGTTTCTCTACGTTTTGCTGGGGCATTAGTCCTTTAACCCCGCAAATGTTCTCCAGGTAATAAAAGGCCGTCTTTGTAATTGTCTTTATGTGTCACTAGATGTGCAGATTTTGTTAGCTGAACCACAGAACTATCCTTTAATTTAGCTCCAGCTAACTCGGACTAGCTTCCCTCTCCCCGCTGTGCAGAAACAACCCCACAGCATGATACTCCCACTACTGTGTCTCACAGTATCAATGGTGAGTTTAATCTTCCTTCACTTACAGTCTTTTGCATGCAGGTCAGAAATGGTGTCATCCAACCCAAACGCATTCTTCCTCAGATTTGCCGTGCCCACCTGTGTTTCTAAACTAGGTTCAGTCTATGATGGCTCCCTTCTTTCCATTCTTCTTTGCTGTGGATGACCTGAACCCGTACGTTTGCTTGGATTGACAGAATTACTGCGAAAGCACAACAAACAGACAGAAGTGGGAGTTTCTTTTACGCTGAGACCGGATCCATAGCTGTTGTAGCAAATTCCCAATGATATAAAGAATAAATTATAACGTGAAAGGGAGTAAAAAAAGAAATCACCAAAAATATCTTTGTCGTAAAATTACTCCTAATTATGTTGTAGGTGCAGCTGTTATTTTAAGATCTTGCAGTGAAATAAGTGGCGCCGAGCTGCATGTAATACCGATGTGTCATCTATATTCGTGGTCTGCATATGTCTCTGTGTGCAGATGTGTGTTCATGTGTAAGAATGTCCTAGTTCAAATGTGTGAGTGGATGTCTCGAGAGCGCTAAAATGATTTGAGCTGCTTGCTAGTGAAGCTTTCAGGATGCAGACAGTCTGTGGTGGAAGACGGTACAGACTTCCTACGTGATCTGGAAAAATCTGGTGTTGAAGTCTCTTCCAGTTTGGAAAAATATTTGTCTTTCCAGACTTTGTTCCCCTGCTCCATTGTCTAGATGGTGTTTTCTTCTTTTTCTTGCTTCCTTCCTGTCTTTCCTTCTTGTACATATTATTCCTTGTCACGCCTTTATCTTCTGTCTTGTAACATCCCTTTCTTTCATACAATGCATCTATGCTTAATTTTGTCTTTCCTTTGATGTCTTGTAATCCAATTTCAATTGCCTTGTGTAAGAACGGTGTTAAATAAACCAACTTGTTGTGTCTTGCTTTCTTACCCTTTTCCTTTCACTGCCGTTCCGCCCGTTCTTTGTGTCTTCCTTGTTCTCCATCAGTCTCCCATTCTCTTTACCATAAAGCCTGCCTTGTAGGAACCCTGAGAGTAATAATGTAGAAAACACATAGAGCAAAGTAAAGAGAGAGAGATGCATTCAAAACCCAGATAGGCAAAACATCCAACAATCCCTGCTGGGAAGGCAGAAGACCTGATGATGAGTCAAACAGAGTGAATCAGATTTAGAAAAGAGAACATGTAACATGTTGTGGGTGTGAAAATGCGGAAGATAAAATCTAAAAGAAGAGGTTTTAAAAGGCAAAATGCTCTTAAAGAACCCCCACATGTGGAGAGTAAACGAACAAAGATGTTAAAAGCAGCACAGAACACTTTGTGAATAATCAAATACGAGATTCCCCACTTAACGTAAACGAAGATGTTAAAGATGAGGGGCTTTGTGAGTACATGACTGATCGTACCAGGGAAGTGGACAGAAGAAACCCGAGCTCTCAGATAACTCGTGGTTGTTTATTAGCTTTTTATATATATATATATATATATATATATATAAACAGGGCAGCTTCTTCACTGTCGTTATTAGGATGGCGCACAGGAGTACGAATTGAGCACACCTCTAACCATCTGCTTTGAACTGAAAATCAGTTACAGATCCTGTAAAACATATGCTTATGAGAAATACTAAATCTTTTTCTGGGAAGTGTTTTTCAGTTTTTAGTGTTAGGCATGAATGGAGGTAAAATACATGTATGGAAAACTCATAAAAGTCCCTGATAAAAGTTTTAGGATTACTGGAAACCCTATTTAAGCCCATCTCTCTTTGTCCGATTCACCACAGAATGCAGTTTATGGTCCAAGTATTGCCGTTTGAACTCACGTCAGGGCGCCCAAGATTACGCAAAAGATAGGATACAGTGAAGCAGGAAATACAGACACAAAGTATTGAGAGGCCAGCAGAAGATCCAGATCAAGAAATTTATTCTGTTTAAGTACCCATCTGCATCTGCTAAAAGTCCCATCCACAATGCTTTTTTTTAACTCATTCTCCTAAATGTCAGCTGGTTTTAGAGCTTTAAATGTCTAAACCAGCTTTTTCTTTCTTAAGTGTATGACTAACCAGGTCTGATGAGGTGAGAAAACAATGCAAGTTTCCAAGAGGGATCGTTTTTTCATCTGCTAAAATCTTCCTTCGGCCATTTGTCAATCACAGCTTCCTGTCTGTGGAGAGACTTTACAGCCTGGACAGATCTCTCAGTCTGAGGTCGCAGCTTCCAATAAAGAGCGCTCATCCTCAGCGGGGACATTTAACCGCTCCCTGAAGGCTCTGGACGGACGCCATGATGGACCTGGAAATCTTCGTGGGGGGACGGTGGAGATGGGGGTTTAGGGGTTGTTGAAGAAGCAATCCATCCACAGGTGAGCGAAGTCGTGGAGCCGTCTGCTGGTTCCATCTGAAAAGCTCTGTTTTAAGTGCTTTGGTCATTACTGCTGTTATGGGAAGAGGTGAAGGGGATAACATGTGTTGCACATTTTAAAAATGATCCTGCTGACAAAGGAAAACACTAATGAAGACCATTTCTTAAAGGGGAGTGTGGATTTTCTTGCACAGGTATTCTGTGTACTTTTACTTCATATTAAGATAAATAACAAAATGGTTAGTAGACCGTCATTAATTGCAGAGGCGTTAAGTGAACACTTTTCCTCAATTGGTAATTCATTACCCAGTCATTCATACTCTGAGTGGAACCAGATTCAGAACAGATGTGGCTGTTCGTTTGCCTTCAGAGATTCACATGAGCTACTGCTGACGATCACCTCAGAAATGTGCTGGTTCAAGACGTAAGAGGTGGTTTGGTAGAAGCAGATTATTATCAAATTTAAGCCGAACCGAAGTCCTGGTGGTGGGTACAAGATGGATATTCAAAGTGTGGAAATGGAAAGAGTTTGCGGAAACTGGTTTCTTTCAGTAAACCCCAGTTAAAACCAATAAACTATCAAGGAGCATCTCAGTTGTCAGTAAGGTGAGAAACATCCTGGAGCACAAATCACTCCACGTCCTCTGCTGTTCACTGGTTTTACTGGTATTTCATTTGCTGTGGAGAGGTTTTTGCGGCGATACTTTTGCAACTCGATCACTGGATCAATATTACACAAAAAAAAGGAGACATACCAGATAATAACACCAGCTACAAAGAACATATAAAGTCAACTTTTTTTCAAAAATCAAAAACATTAAATTTTCCTGTCCTGGTTCATTCTCAAACAGCACAATTTATGTACCAAGTCATAAGAAAGCTCCTTCCTGGAAATATCCAGAAATTATTTTTGGAAGTGGTTGGCTGTAGATCTCAAGCAGAGTTCATTGTAGTTGAAGAGACAGTAGTTTTCACAGAGTACAGGAATGAGGGGCTTTGTCCATCACCAGGTGTTTTCACAGATCATTTGTTCCCTCATTTGCGATACGTATAAGAAAATATGCAAATACTATATATAAAACATTCTGAGGGGGATTTGATTGTTTATTTAAGGGCAATGAGTAGGAAAAATGACAAGTATATTCTTCTTCCTAGTCCCTTTCGAACATGTTATTCTGTTTTTGTTGTTGCTGGACTATTTTGAGTGTTGCCTTGCTTTACTTTTGTTTGTTTAGTTGTATATTTATGTCTGTTTCTGTCGTTTTCTCATGTCCGAAATAAATCACACCAGCTGAGGTTCAGCAGGTGGCTGCAGTGTGGTGAAATCATTTCCATTGTCTGATTTGTTTAATTTATCTTTAGAAACCCCATCAGTATGGAAATATGCTGGAGTAATCATCATTTATAAAGGGCGGACCATAACAGACGCACCTCAGTTATTAATAACTTAACTGTGTCAAAGGTTTTTATTGCCCAATAGTTCAATCTACCATGGGACATGTCTCCAGAAATGAAGGCCTTAGTCACTGAATCCATTTGCAAATGGTATTTTTCATGAGTAATGGCTTCTTTCTGTCTGAGTGGCCTTTCACTGTGAACAATAACACTCTTCTTCATGAGGGTTTACTAATTTTTTAAAGTCGTATTAAGCTCGGTGTTCATGAACTTCTGACTTTGAGGAAAGTAATAAAAATATTAAAGAATCTCTCTATTTTTTTTTTTTTTTTGGTATTTCGCAACCACAAGCTACTTTGGTAAATCCCAACGGAACAGTCAGAAAAATGGCTGTGTCTTTTTTTGGGGTGTCTGTGAACATCTGGTTTCAGCTGTTATTCTTATTGAGGAGTTTGCTGAACATTTGTATCCAACACCCTTTAAACTGATAACCAGCACAGCCGATTGCATTTCTAAGTAATCTGAGTAGGAAAAATCCTGCGGACGTTAACCTCTATCTATATTCTGTGAAGATATCAGCGATTGCTCACTGGACTGGATAGGATGAGTTTACCACTAATGTGAGACGGATGAGATTAATGTAAATACATTTCTTCTGGATTATTCTTTATCTTCAGCAAAGGGGAAAAAAAGGGATAGTTCTTCTTGTTGCTCCAGTTTTTTTTTTTTTTTTTGTTGTGAATAATGCGATTAAAGCAACATTCTTAAGAATTCAATTCTTTTTTTATTTTCATTTGAGGAGTTCAGCACATTATGACGTTTGTTCAATGAAAAACAGGTGCATCTGGACCTTTATCAAAATAATGTTTTTAGCAGCACAAAGAGAATAGTGTTCAAAAACAATGTTACCTGTCAGGATACTGGATGTCTTGTGTTTTTTAATCCCCTTTCTTAACATCAGCACTCAGTCAAATTAGACGGGACGCCCTGCACTTTACGCTAAGCCGAAATAAGATAGGACTCTTTCAAAGTACTGCGCTACAATAAGCAAATGAATAATGTTATAAAATAATTGTCACATTAAGGTCTTTTTTTAGTCATCTTCTAGTGTATTTACCATGGAAAAGAAACCACAGTATAGCTGCCTTTTGGTATGAAATGCAGAGAAAATACTATATATCTGGCAATGTCAGGGATGCACTTTGAAATAATACAACCTGTTTGCAAGTGTCAAGACATAAAACAAAAAAAAAAAAAAATCCAAACACACTATAAGCGTATTCATCTTTTGGAAATGCAAAATGACACAGAAGTATTGAAACCTTCTCACAGAGAAGACATTAGCATACATTTTCATACTTTAAATAATTTAACACGCTGTTCACATTTTTAACATTGATGCTATACAGTCATTGCCTGTCATTCATGATGGCTGAGCAGTGGTTCGAAAGTCTTCAAAGTGCAACAGAAGAGCTCCTCGGTGACGTCCGTGGATTTGTACGTTACAACTGCGGTGATTTGAATAAATTGCGGCGGAGGAGTCAATACTGAGGAGTAATACGTTGATAATACACCGAGGTCATGACGAAGGTTATATGCATTTTTCCTGCGTGTTTGCAGTATTGTCTGCGAGGGTCACGTGCAGAGCCGTGTCCTTGGGACAGATTGGAAGGTCACTAGGCGCAGTACATGCCTCGTCGTCCTCTAGCCCCGTCTGAGGCTGCGGCTCCTCCTGCGTACGCTGCAACGTCTGTGCAGCCGCCGGACAGGAGCCGTCCTCGGACCCGGGCTTAAACGAGGCCAGCCCCAGCGCATTCCCGTCACTCGGGTACAGGACGGTCCGTAGGGTGCTGACTCTTTCTCCCGGCTCACGGGATATCAGTGAAGGGGAGTCCCGCGAGATGATGGAGGAGGAGAGGGCGCCGTCCGCACAACGAAAGCGTCCTCCTCCCCGCCGTCCCCGTCCGCCCATTTTGCAGAACAGGCACTTGATCTTCTCCAGGACTTTGAGAACCACCGTCTTTTTCAGGAGAATGTAGAACCAAGGGTCCAGGATGGGGTTCACGGAGGCCATGCGGATGGCTATGAGGTCCTTGTTCAGCCCAGAGGTCTGCGACGTTTGGTTTGAGAACAGCTGGTTTTCGAAGATCCTCAGCTGATGATAGAAGACAGAAATAAATTAGTTTTAAAAGGCAGCATTCCAAACTACAGAGGTGCATCTCACTCCCCAAACCCGGCTCACATCTTTGAACTTTTTAGATTAGATTTTGCATGATGGAAAGTGTGGAATTAAAAGCAAAGGGCATGTTTTTTTTCTGTGTGTGTGCGTTTATTTGTTTTGGTTTTTGAAAACTAAATCTGAAAAGTGTACTCGGGATTTGCTTACGATAGCACTGACTCAATGCACTGTGCAGAGGAGGTCTCAAACTGCAGACCTCTAGGGCCGGTGACCTTTAACCTTTAGATGTCTCTCCGATTCAGCACACCTGGCTCCAATACTAGCTCATTAGCAGAGCTCTATAGAGCTTGACTGCATGCCAGTGAGCCAGTTTTACCATTTAATTCAAGCTTTCATATGTGTCGGGCACATATGAAAGGTGACTTCAGCTTGAGACCACTGCTATACCTTTCCCTTCCAGCTGCGAGTCCTTCGGGGTAAGACGAGCTTTACAGCTGTAGAGACAAATTCATCCTCATTCAGTTCAAATTCAGTTAATCTGATGGAGAGCATCTGCAGACATCAACGTTTAAGTATCGCCTTTGCACCTCAACTGAATCTGGCCTGGACTTTGACTGAAATGGATCTGGTTGTATTCAAAATGCCTTGACTGATTTCCACAAAGCAGCACCGTTCTCGGGGGGCTCCCCGGTCAGGTGACAAGTCCTGTTAGGGCGGAGATCCTAGTCCATTGATTTGGGGGCACGAAAACGTGACTGCTTGTGACAAAAGGACGTGTCGCACTAGTGTGACGTAAAGTTAGGCTTTTTGGTAAACACACCAAACTGCACCAACCCGTGCCACACCGCTCACTGGAAATGAGTCACTACTGTCCCACCTCACATAAATTCCCATTAAAAGACTGAAAAGATTGTTGACACAACGTGAGAAGTTCTCAGGACTGTAAATCCTGTTATTGTAAAGCATTGCACATTAATGCCATGGAATGAGCAAATTCTTAATGACTCCTTACTGATGGCAAATTCAGTGAGATCACAGTGGGGTCTAAATGGAAATGGGCCAACAAGAGCAGTTCTCACTGTCATCAAAAACGAGCCTTTGGCTGTTGCTTCCCATGAGTCTAACCAACACTCATTCATTAAAGCCAGAGGCACAAATGTCTCAGTTCTTAACATGACAGTCTTCTTTCTTTGCAACATATAGGAAATTTCACCTCAGATTTTACATGTTTAACTCGTTTGAGACTCCCTTGGCTCATTTCTGTCCTTCTAGCCACTTTTTAATTTTTAATAGTATTTTTAGCCTGTGTTAATGCTAATCAGATAGAGATTTTAAAACTTTCTTTTAAACCCAAATCACAATCAAACAATATAATTTAGATATAATTTAATTTAGCCATCACATTGTTGGACACTTATTTACTCTTTAAGTTACACATTTAATCATGCAGTTGAATCAGAGCTAATGCAGGAGGCCTAAAAAAAGCCCCTTAGTTTTCTATTATTGGAAACAATAGCTCTAAATAAACAATCCACACAAATAACTCATTCTGCCCTTCATCATTTTTAGTTTGTTTCTTTAAAAAAAAATACAGGATGCTGTAATTACAAAAAAGTATATATTTTTTAAGTAAGTAATGCAAAATGGATGACAAATTTAAAGTTCTGATTAGGACTGATGAGGTCAAAATGCTTAAAAATGAAGGCAGAAATAAATAGGCAAATAAATAAATACATGCTGAAAATATTTTATTTTTTTTAGATAACTTTTTCTGCAGATATTTTTTTTTTGTGTGCGTGTGTTTTCAGCTTCTTTAGGTACAGGGTTTATGCAGCAATATATTTGCACAATACTATTTTCTGACACTGTGTGAAGATGCAAAGAGGCAATGATAATGACAAGTACCTTTTTTATATATATAAGTATCCTATTCCTTCTGCCCCCTCTGCAGTGCAGCCCTGGGCGTTTGGTCATATTCTCACATCAATAGCCGCCACACGTTGCAGCTTTAGAGGGGGGTCCTGTGCTTCAGAAAGCTGCCAACTCGTAAGACTTACGCCCCCATTTTAATAGATATGCGGCCAGAAAACCAACAGAAGGTTTACCAACTGAAAGGAAAGAGCGCGTGCGTAACCACACGTGCTTCAGAGACATGCCTCATCTGCCCACAAAGATCTCAAATAAGAACACAAAGTTCTGAGAGTCCGCGGTTGTCACATACATTTCAGTTTCTGTTTACTTTTAATGCCAATAAAACCGTATTTTGTTTAATTCCGATGCTTTCTTACATTGTAGAACCTGTGACAGCTCTGGCGCGCGCGCTCATACCCAAAAGCAGCAAAGTTTATGCTATGATCTCACCCCCATACTTACAACTAAAGGTATCGAGCAGATGAGGACCACGGCGGAGGTTCCGATGAGCACAACCACCATCTGAATCTCCACTCCGGCTAAGCGCCTGAAGTTCCGCCGGCGTCGCAGCTCCGCGATGCGCCGCGGGTCCGTGCCCAGCGAGGTGCGGCGGATGAAGCGCCTGTGCATCAGGATCAGCGCCCCGCACACCATCACGTTGCAGAAGACCGTGGCCAGCACAATCACCGAGTTCACTCCCGCGTAGATCAGGTTGAAAGTTCTCACCGTGGTCTTGTTGCTCTGCCAGTCGATGAAGCACCACGACTTCGGCTCCTGGACCTTCACCTCCCCGATCCCGGCGACGGGGAGCGCGCAGAACACGAGGCACGACACGTACACGGCGAAGAGCGTCAGCGCGGCCAGTCTCTGGTTGACGAACTCGTTGTAAAAGTAGGCATGATTTATTGCCAGGAACCTTTCCACGGACATGGTGAACACGATGCTGAGTTGCACCAAGAAGAAGTAGAGCAGGATGAAGCCCGAGTACTGGCACAGCTTTCCCTCCAGCGAGTTGTTGTTCACGTAGATGAAGAGGGTGACGGGGCTGGCCAGCAGGGTGCCCAGGAGGTCTGTCACCGCCAGCCCGCACACCAGAGTATAGAAGGTCGTTTCCTTCTGCTCCTTCCGCGACAGGCGCAGGACTACGATGGCGATGACATTCCCGATCACCCCGATTACAAACATGATCGCCGGGATGGTGAGCGAACGAGAAGGCGTCTCTTCCGCCGTGGCGTTCATTCCTGCGAGCGACTCGTTCACAGCAGACATTCTCCTCTCGGTTCCCAAGGACAGACACTTTCCATCAACGCGTCTTCTTCATTGCTGAACAACGAATCCATTGTGTCCACCGTCCGTTCACTTTTACGCACGGCATCATACCTCCATTTTTTTTAAAAAAACCAGGGAAAAACAAGAACTCATAAGCGAGAGAGAGAGAGAGAGTTTGGTCTAATGTCTGGAGGCTTGCACCTTCACGTCCTCATCACACCCACAAACTTGACAGGGAAGTCTGAGTTTGAACGGCAGCTCCTCCTATACAGGTCTGGGTTGTTGTCAGTGTGGGCGTCCAGGGCGCACAGCCGAGGAGGCGCAGTCTGACTCGCAGCTCCCAGTTTCATATCCTCTTTTTTGCTGCATTTACGACCATAATCAACTTTTCAGTTGACATCGACCAAGCGGTCGGGACAGTAGTGGCTTAAAGCAGAACAGCTTTTTTTTTTTTTTTTTTTTTTTTTTTTTTTTTTTTTAAAAAAAAAAAATGCAGCGGGGAGGATGTTTAAAACGTTTTTCCTTTTCTGT